AATGCTCAGAGACTTCCTGAGGTGATGCTGGCTTTATTATTGTAGGAGCTCCTTTATCTCCTTCCTCCTCACAACATCACATTCCCCTCCCCGTGTTTCTTTCCCTGTGGTGTCTCCAGGTGACGTTCTCACTGACATCAGGGAACATCGGGAGAGCTTTTGAGATCCGGACCACCAACAGCACCTACGGTGAGGTCTTTATAGCACGGCCACTGGACCGGGAGCTGCTGGACCACTACACCTTACGGGTGAGCACCCAACCACTCCACTTACCTTCTTGGGCTTCTTCTGCTTTTGAGCGTCCAGGCTGTTTTCTTGGGACTGTGAGCTTAAAAATGGAACCTTTTTTGAAAATCCATCCCCAACTGCAGATCCAAGCCTTGGATGGTGGCGTGCCTCCCCGGAGAAAGGAGCACACTCTGCGAGTGAACATCCTCGATGTCAACGACAACCCCCCCGTCATCGACAGCCCCTTCGGCTACAACGTGAGCGTGAGCGAGGTGAGCAGCTCTTCTCTTTCCATCCTCCCAAGGTGAGGTCTGACCATAAGTCAGGTGGGGACTTTTTCTTCCCCATTTTTATCTCACCCTGCCTTGCGGTCAGACCTCACCTTGAATGATTCAAGGGTTGGTGGCCCCTTGCAAACCTCACCTTGGATGATTCAAGGGTTGGTGGCCCCTTGCAAACCTCACCTTGGATGATTCAAGGGTTGGTGGCCCCTTGCAAACCTCACCTTGGATGATTCAAGGGTTGGTGGCCCCTTGCAAACCTCACCTTGGATGATTCAAGGGTTGGTGGCCCCTTGCAAGCCTCACCTTGGATGATTCAAGGGTAGGTGGCCCCTTGCAAGCCTCACCTTGGATGATTCAAGGGTTGCTGGCCCCTTGCAAACCTCTCCTTGGGTCATTTAAGGGTTGCTGGCCCCTTGCAACCCCCTCTCCTTGGGTCATTTAAGGGATGCTGGCCCCTTGCAAACCTCTCCTTGGGTCGTGTAAGGGTTGCTGGCCCCTTGCAAACCTCTCCTTGGATGATTCAAGGGTTGGTGGCCCCTTGCAAACCTCACCTTGGATGATTCAAGGGTTGCTGGCCCCTTGCAAACCTCACCTTGGATGATTCAAGGGCTGCTGGCCCCTTGCAAACCTCACCTTGGATGATTCAAGGGTTGCTGGCCCCTTGCAAGCCCTCACCTGTGACGACCTTCTAGTTTTGGGCTAGGAAAAAGCTCTGCAGGCAATTTAAGCCTGTCAGGGTGCAGGGGCCAGCAGGAAGGAGAAGTGGCTACACACCCATGGAAATGCCACCGAAGTGACACAAGAGGCGGTGCGGTGCAGAATAGGAATTGCTTTCAGGAAGCAGCTCGGCAAGAGTTAGATAATTAAGCAATAAAACACAATCAGGCGTGAGAAAAGACAACTTATTTCCTGACATTTTAATTCCTGGACCGGGGGGGTTTCTCAATTTGATGATGAAAAATGAAATAGGAGTAATAGCCAGTGACACTTAGCTGCGAGGAAGTGCTGCTCATGATTAATAGCTTTGCATTAAAGTTATTGCCCTGTTAGGATTTTCTTATCTATTTAATACATGTTCAGAGCCGGTTGAAGAATAGAATTTCTGTTTTGATTTCCCCCGTAATGGGACGATCCGAAAATAATTAGTCGAGCTCCGAGTCCATTACACAGCCTTCACCTCTGCACATGCTGGTTTTTACACTCCCTCGGGATGTGCCAGCCTCGAAAGGACCTGACGTGCAGCTCTCTGTGGCAGGAAATCAAACCAGCTCATTGCAACGAATGGGAGATGCTGTAACACAGGAAGAAGAGGTGTGATTTGGGTGTGCAGTGGCAGCTGGCTGGGGTGAAAGCTTGTCTGTTAGTTTTATTCCTTTTTTTTTTTTTTTGCTAAAAAGTTAATTTAGAAAGCACATTTCATTTCAGAGTTTCAAGCCACAGAATCACAGAATCCCAGAATGATAGGGGGTTGGAAGGGACCTCTGGAGATCATCTAGTCCAACCTCCCTGCCAGAGCACTCAGAGCAGGTTGCACAGGAACGTGTCCAGGTGTTGTTTGAATGTCTCCAGAAATGGAGACTCCACCACCTCCCTGGGCAGCCTCTTCCAGGGCTCTGCCACCCTCAAAGTGAAGAAGTTCCTCCTCATGTGTAGGTGGAACTTCTTATACTCAAGTTTGTGCCCATTTCCTCTTGTCCTGTCCCTGGGCACCACTGGAAAAAGACAGGCCCCATCCTCCTGACACCCACCCTTGAAGCATTTATAGGCGTTGATCAGATCCCCCCTCAGCCTTCTCTTCTCCAGACTAAAAAGACCCAAGTCCCTCAGTCTCTCCTCATAAGAGAGATGCTCCAGGGCCCTCATCATCTTTGCAGCCTCTGCTGTCCCCTCTCCAGCAGTTCCCTGTCCTTCTGGAACTGGGGAGCCCAGAACTGGACCCAGTGCTCCAGATGGGGCCTCCCCAGGGCAGAGCAGAGGGGCAGGATGACCTCCCTCCACCTGCTGCTCACACTCTTCCTGATGCCCCCCAGGATGCCATTGGCCTCTTGGCCACCGGGGCCCATTGCTGGCTCCTGGGCATCCTGGTGTCCACCAGGACTCCCAGGTCTTTCTCCTCAGAGCTGTTCTCCAGAAAAAAAAAAAAAATCAGAGCACTCAAGCAAAGGGCAGAGCCTTCCATCGCTGAGCCTGTGGCTGATTCTCAGCTGAGCCATCAGGGGCAGGACAAGTAGTCTTGGTTAATATTTTGCACAAAGATGCGTCTATTAATGAAAGATTTTTTTTGCACTGCAAAAATGGAATCCAGGAGCTGTTGAAGCCTTCTGCTTGGCTGATGGGTGTTGGGTTAGCGAGTTTGGAGCCTCAAGCACTTCCATGCCTGGAAAAAAACCTGCTCCATGTTAGAATGAAGCTATATAATGATATATTTTATATTATGA